TAAGGTGATTCCATAGAGGGACAGGCTGCAAGGTCAGTGCTAAGTGGGGGTAAGAGTTTCCTGGTGACACAGGTTGAGGATCAGTTCATCTCCAACACAGAGTTTAACCCAACTCAGCTTTCTACCATCAGATGGCAAAGTGATATGACAAGAGCACCACAGAAAAGCCTCTTTCTACAGTGTGAGGTCACTGAGAAAAAAAAAAGGCTGAATGCTGAAAATAGAGATGGCGTGGTGAGGAGATCGCGATAGACGCCATTGTTCTCACTTATGAGACACCCCTGATAATTAAGCGCATCAAAGGGAGGGGAAAATTAGAATAATTGACCTTAGGCGACCCATTACCATCAGAGAGGGACACGGTAAATAATACAACAATGGCTCCATTGAGAATGTGAAATTCTCTCCATTCTTAAAACATATATAAAAAACACAGTTACCCATACTATGATTTTCTCTTCAACATGCAGAGTATAGACAGAAGTAGTTATAATTGACAGTGTTTATGTCAATTATAACTGCTAAACATAAAAGCTTAATGGTAACTAATCACTTTCCTATTTTTAATCTCTCTCATCCATTTTCTTAACCACTTATCCAATTCAGGGGCAGACACGGCTGGGGCCTATATTGGCAGTCCATCACAGGGCTAATACAAAGAAACAGACAACTATTGACAGTCCCATTCACAACCAATTTAGAATCACCAGATCACCTAAATATGCACGTCTCTGGACTGTGGTATGAGGCCAGTGTGCTCAGAGTCAAGCCCGACTGATATAATATGTTTAAGATCAATAATGATAAGATCGAATCCTGATATATCAGGGTTTGTTTGTTTTTTTGCTCGTTCAGACACTGAAGCATACATTTCCCTAACATTTGTTACCTGTAGTTACCCACTTACGTTCTGCACGACTCTACTCAGAATCAGATCAGCTGTTATTGGTTTTTTGTGGCGTTCCAAATGTGTGTTCCCAAAAGGAAACTTGCAGAGTGCCTTCTGGTGGAAAAACTATGCAACGTGAACACTCTTAAAATTGTTGATTATTATAAAATATTATTTATAAGCTGTTATCAATGCCGGTATTGTTAGAAAGCCAATACCAGCTGATAATATTTACCCGTCAATAAATGGGTCAGGCTCTACCAGAACAAATCACACAGGGACATGGAGAAGATGCAGATTCCACACAGATCAACCACAGCTGACCAGTCGATCTGGTCAGCTGTGGTTGATCACTGTGTATTATCAGATAGGAGGTATAGAAGTCTTTACAGGGACTTTACATTAATTTAAAAATTACTGAAACTGAAATACTACAGTAGGTTTTACAGCAAAGGGTGTTTCCCACAAAATCAATGTGCACATATCTATACTTATCTATTCCAACACTTTAAATGGAAAGTGAATAAAACTACCAAAAAGTGTTGAATTGATGACACAAACATCACATGGCGTAAAAATAAGCTTATATAGAGAGTAAACCTGAGTAGAATTATGCATTTTGTTTTTGTACCCGAACAGTATCCAAGTTAAACTTTGAAAACGTATCTGATGACTGCCGGCAGACACAGCAAATTGCAGATTACGCCGTTAACCGAGATGGAGGGGCCAACTGATGTAATGAGGTGATAGAAACAGCTGATGCCTTACACGCCTCGTGTCAGCTACCATCAGATGCAATCACTGATGTTGGAAAACAAGTGCTTCCGCAAAATTAGGCGATGCAGAGGCCTGATATTCTTGTCTGTAACTGGTCTCCTCTTCTTCATGACTGAATCTGCGTGCCTGGTGAGACAGAAAGCTGTAAACAAGCAGGAGCCATAGCAGGGAATATCCTGACAGCCCTGCTTGTTTGCCATTGTTCAACAAATATCCAATCTAATAAACGCAGACTGGTCTCCAAGCTCATATGTGCAGTCACATGCACAGGCCGTTGTTAGCATCAAAAGCTAACAGCAGCTGTCTCCATAAAACCATAGATACTATCAATAAAAAAGGTAATTTGATTATACAAGTCACATAAATCCTCTTTACCAAACACCTTTAGATAAAACTATTGTTTCCTCTAAGCGGCAGTGTTCAAAACCCTTCTTCTGAGTGAGGCTGTCACACCACTTCACTAAAGTCTCTTATAAACAATGCTTGATTGCTGACTTGTTAAGCCTCAGACACATCATGCATTGCTTGTAATAACAGGGGCTGTTGTAACTAATGACCACATACCTTAAACAACCTCCCAGTCTCCACAGTCTGAAGCCACAGCCACAGCCTGGTACACTATTGTGACACTCTGTGGGCCATGACAATAACATCTAGCATAATGAGAGACATATGGTGTGATCAGCTGTGTGTGTGGCTGCGTCCAACTGCATGACTATGCAGGAGATGTTTGAGGTGAGGTGTCTCTGGGTGTACAACGTAGGCTGGTAGACGGCAAACATGTGGGAGAGGAGTTAGCAGAGAGAAATGTGAGACAGGGGTTATGAGCTCTAAGTTTAGACTATAACCCCCTGTTAACTCACTCACATGCCTGTGTGTCTGGGACGGAGAGAGCTCCCTGCAGGGAGATTCCCACAGTTACACAGAGACATTTGGATCCCTTAAACACACACTGTGGTGGATCACTGCAAAATGTGGTGGATAATTTCCACAGTTCATTACAGTCTGATTCTAAGAAGCCTTTGGATTGCCGCTTAATTGAGTTTTCTGACCTTTTGGAAGAATCTGTAACTATTTACTGTCAAACGATTAGTGAAACCGAGGAACTGAAATCACTACTTGGCAGCCACTGCTCATTCAAACGTTCAGAAAACTGTTTACCGTTTTCACTAGAGACTGACAACAGCCTCATGGTACAAAGTACAGCAGCGACTGCCCAACGGAATAAAGTTTATGACACCACGAAACTTAAAGATCAGCTAAAAGCACATTCTTACCTCTCTGTTGGTGCCAGCTCTGTCTTTTCAGTTCATTCCTGGTGTGCGTGGCAGAACGTATCTAATGAATGTACCGTGAGCGGTAACCGGTGAGCTGCGCGTCATGACAGCGGCTCAGTGTGCTGTCAATCTCCGCGGGTGAAAGCAAAGGAAACAGCGAAAAAGTGTGGAAGTGAGTGAGAATGTGGGTGTATGCGTGGGTTTGTGTGCGTGCCTGTCGCTTCAAAAGCGATCCGAAACAGCGTGCCACTGACCGAGGAAGTTTTTTCCCCTGTAACTCCTCCTACATTTACTTTGGGGCAGTCGTAGGGCCTCCTTTTCTCTCTCTCTCTCTGTTTCTTCCCCTCTCTCACCTTCATGCATAAAAAAACTTCCTCTTTCTGTCAGAATCTGGAAACAGGATCCCACAGAGGACTAAACCGAAAAGAGGTCAGGTTATAAATATATCCTCAATCTATCTTCTCAAAACTATTCAAACCTGTTGCACGATTACAACATTCTTCGTAGTTAGAGTACCAGATGCACAATAATAAATACTTTCTCTCTTCCCATTCTACAACACCAGTCTCACCAGCTTGTCTTGCTGCACCACTAATGATGTCAGACGTTTAGATGACTGAGTAATCACCTGCTTTGTTTTGGGTTTGTTTTTTTTCTCTCTCTTTGTATTGTTCAGCACATACCTGACAAATCACTCATCTTCATTACAAAGCTCCTGTTTTTTTCACAGGCCTGCTCAACAAGTCCACTGAATGTGGGAAATGTCCAGAGTGATGCCTGGAAGTGTGAAATATTTATCCTGGCGTGCTGCATGACACTACAAAAACAAAACAAAACAAAAAGGCACAGCAGTGACCTCTTGTCATTTTCTTTCTGGGCTATGTATCTCTGTTATGCATATCTGTGTGTGCAGTGATAATAAACGCCAAGCCGGCAGTGCTTTGGTCTGCCATTTTTTTTTTCCTGTTTCTTTTGCGTGCTTAGTTAAATATAAACTCTGGAACTGATTGTGTAGCCCCAAGTACACCACCACTAAGTCACCCTGAACACACAACATCGTCCCTGTGGTGCTCATGTGATCGTGCAACTGGCTATGCAAGGCTGGAGGACACAGACCATTTATTTTGCTCTGCTTCCAATAGTCTGAGAGTGTTGGAGGGGAGGGGTTGAAAGCATTAAATATCAGCAAATTACAAATAGCCAGGAATAAGTAGAAACAAGCAAGCACAGCGTTGCAGGATGAATAGTAAAACACGGAGTGGGTATGTGCACTTTCCCCTTGCCATGTGAGTGGACAAAGGGCAAGGATTGTGAGATTTAGTGAAGAATGCAGCACACTGCTGATCAGTGCTACTGATAGTGGACACATGGCCACGGTGCGAATGACAAACAAAAGACACATTATATCCAACTGATAAACAAATGAATGATAAGGCCAAAAACAACACAACCACACCCACACACACACACACACACACACACACACACACACACACACACACACACACACACACACACACACATATACACACACACACACACACACACTACAGTATGAGT